CATGACGATTCATCACAGTAGCAACATGACAGTTAGGAAGTAGCCACGAAAATAATTTTATGGTTGGGTCACAACATGAGGAACTGTATTTAAAGGGCCAGAAGGTTGAGAACCACTGCTAGACCTATACTCCCCTTATACCACCTGGATTATCTGGGGGGTGGAGGGGGTAAAAGGGGACCTTCTCTCAGGTCTCCCTGCCTCCCCTGTACCCCTAACCTTCAGTCTGTCTTCAACCGAAGCCAGAGGGACCCATCCTGGAGAATAAGACAAACCCATATGGTTCCCGGCAAGGCCCCTGATGAAAGACCATTGCCCTCTCCTTCCCTCACTCTGCTCCTTTGCACCCCCTTTTGCTTGGAGCACCCCCCCTCCCCGTTTCCCCCAAGGCTGGCTCCTTGTCATCCCCTGAGGTCTCAGCTCAATGTCACCACCTCTGAGAGGCCTCTCTCACTCAACAGCTAAACCAGTCACCTGCTGCCCATCACCCCAGGACATTAAGACCTGGTTTTCCTCCATAGCATTTACTGCCTTCTAATGTTTTATCCTTGCATTCCACACAGAAAATCATGTGGCCGTGCCTAATGCAGCACTCAGCCCTTTGCCACGCTTGCTGTTCACACGTGAATGTGTGTATCGGAAGCACTCGAATGTAATGTGTGGACATCCTAGCCAGCTAGCCCCCCAAATTACTGCAGCGGGCGTCTCCTAAAAATAAGAACTTTCCCCCACATCGCCACCGTGCCCTTGTCACACCTAAGAACACGACCGTTATTGTTAGTTTCATCTACTATTCAGTCTGTACTCAAAGTTCCCCTTGCACATCCCAGACTCTACAACTGTGCCTGGCACTCGGGAGTCATTACATACATTTTTAAAATATCTTTATTGATTTCAGAGAGGAAAGGAGAGGGAGAGAGAGACAGAAACATCAGTGATGAGAGAGAATCATTGATTGGCTGCCTCCTGCACAGCCCCTACTGGGGACTGAGCCCGCAACCTGGGCATGTGCCCTTTGCCGGAATCAAACCTGGGACCCTTCAGGCCACAGGCCGATGCTCTACCCACTGAGCCAAACTGGCTAGGGCTACATACATTTTTTAAAATATTTTATTGATTTTTTACAGAGAGGAGGGAAGAGGGATAGAGAGTTAGAAACATCGATGAGAGAGAAACATTGATCAGCTGCCTCCTGCACGCCCCCTACTGGGGATGTGCCCGCAACCAAGGTACATGCTCTTGGCCGGAATCGAACCTGGGACCCTTGAGTCCGCAGGCTGACGCTCTATCCGCTGAGCCAAACCGGTTAGGGCTACATTTTTTTTTTAAAAAAAGATCTTTTATTGATTTTTAGAGATGAGGGAAGGAAGGGGAGGGAGGGAGAGAGAGTGAGAGGGGGAGAGAAACATCCATGGGAGACCGAGACATGATTGGTTGCCTCCTGCACGCCCCCTGCTGGGGATCAAGGCCGCAATCCCCGCATGTGTCCTGACCAGGAATCCAACCGGCAACCTTTGGGTGCATAAGAAGACGCCCAACCTACTGAGCCACACCAGCCAGGGCCCACATGATTGAATCCATGTATGAATGCCTAACCCCTGGGGCTGTTGGGAGCAGGTGCCCAATAAATGTGCACGCATGTCCTCCTTCCTGGGAACATTCACCCCATTGCTGCACCTGCCACCTCACTCTGCATCCTTTCTGTACATTTGTGTGTGGAGTGAGGTGATGCCATTGGCACAGGGCCACACGGCAAAATGCCCAGCAGGCCCCCAATGGGAACATGAATTTGTTCAACTCCGAAGCCCAAGTTCTGACACACAGTAGGTGCTCAATAAACGATCAGATCATGCCTTTTTTCTGTCCCTGGCTTGTCCAAGCAGTGACTGGCCTTTCTCAGCCAGAAAGTACACTGTGTATAAATGTGCATGACCCGAGCCTCCAGGAGCGTCCCCCCCGCGCCCCCTTTCCCTGTCCGGAAGTCCTCTCTCCCCTTCCCTAACACCCCGTGGCCCCTCAGTCCACAGGAAACGTGTGGATGACACATGAGGAGATGGAGTCCCTCACGGCCACGACGAAGCCTGTGAGTGCCCCCTGCCGGCGGCTTTGGGGGTGGCACTAACTCTCTCTCGGGAGGGGCGGGGCGGAACGGGGCGAGTCTGTAGCTGTCTGTCCGTCTGTTCGTTCCTCCCGCCCTCCTTCGCCTGCCCCTTAACCCATCCCTTCTTTCCCCTCTTCCCACTAACGGGTCAGGAGACCAAGGAGATCAGCTGGGAGCAGGTAGGGGGCGCGGGGCGGGAAGGGGGCGCATGACCAGGTTGTGCACGCTGCATGGACGCCCCTTCTTCTCCCAGCCCCGCCCCTATCCTCGCTGGGGCATTCCCTCCTCACCGCGGGGGGGCGCTGTGCGGAGCTCGGCTCTGGACTGTCTCACTGCTGTTTCTTCCTTCTTCTTTACATATTCACTTGACATTCATTCATGTCCTCATTGATTTGGTAATTCATTTACAATGTAGAAGGGACAGAACTTGGCAGAGGAAGGCAGGGTAGGGTTGGGGGTGGGGGGCAGAAAGAGCCCTCCGTGGCCTGCTTGAGTGACTGGAGGGCTAAATCATATTGTTATGTCATTTCCCATTTAGGGAGGCGAATCCTAAAGGCAGAGCACCTGGTGTGCTGGAGCCTTCTTGTATCGGCTTGTGAGAGCCAGTAGTTAAATTTTCAGGCATTTTGTGAGTTGCTTGACATCACATTGGCAGCTTGAAATCGGCACAGTGGGATTATTCACACCATAGAGATGGGCAAAGGCTACAAATCAAGGAATAGCTCCTTCCTCCTCACGGGGCCAGCTAAACACTTGCCAGCACACCACTGCCACCCTGACAAGGCCAGGCCAATGGATGCCCTATTTTGGGGTTATCTCCAATTTATTGCCTGGGAGGTGACATTGGTCCCTGTCTGGCTCGATCACTCCCTCTCTGTGGCCTCATTGACTATTCCCTTGGGGCCTCTGGTCTCCTGGCTTCCTTCTCACCACCCCCAGCATGAAATAGTCTGCTTCCCCCTGAGACTCTCCAAATTTTGGCCCCTCCCTGCCTCCAGCTGGAACACCCTCAGATGAGACGTTGGCCGCCGACCCTCTGGGGCTAGCCAAGCTGACAGGCCCAGGAGACAAGGACCGCAGAAACAAGAGGAAGTGAGTGTGGGAGTGGGGGGGGAGGGGGGGACTTACAAAGATCCACATGCGTTTTGTTGGAACCTCCTGCCAGGTTTCCTACACTCATAACAAGTGTTTTGAGAGGGGGTTGTGGTGAAGGGGGCCACCCAGGAGGGCTGGGTGTCTCCGCCCCTGAGAGCTCCTGCCCTGGCCCCCTCTTCCCAGGCATGAACTGCTGGAGGAGGCCTGCCGCCAGGGCCTGCCCTTTGCCGCCTGGGATGGCCCCACCGTGGTCTCCTGGCTGGAGGTACTGGGGCCCAGAAATGCCCTGATTCCTGACCTTCAACCCCTGTGACAGCCCCACCACTAGGGCTGGTTGGGTCCACCTAGCACCACCCTCCTAGACCAGATGCGGGGGGGAGGGGGGATGAGGCCCTGGAAGGAGTCAGGCTTCCTGTGATCTCCTT